ACTAACCAAACAGTGCATGTTTTTCCTTTTATTTGTTGTATTTTTGAGGTTATCCTCTGAATCTTTTAGCCAACAAATGATTCTGAATTGGGTTTGGATAAGTGGTTAAGAAAGTGGATGGATTGATGGATAGATGGATGGACGGATGGATGGATGGACAGATGCATGGACGGATGGATGGACAGATGGATGGCATTTCCCTTTTTTGTGTTAGTCTCTTTGTTTTCACTTCCTCTTTCTTTCTGATGACATCATTCTTCTTCCTGTGTGATTTTTTTGTCCCACGCTGACTCACCTTTGTTAAGTTCCATTCTCTGTATATACATACTGTAGTCTTGCATCGCCTTTATCAAGCTGCCAGTCTGTGTACTTCCACCTGCTGGGTGAGTTCTTTGTTAACTCGTTCTAGTTTCAAAGTGGATCCCTGGGGTTTTTCTTTTTGGACCGTCCTTTATTTTTGGACCTTGCTAATTATTAACGGGTCTTTCTCTTGTACTTCACCTACTATAATTTTCTCTCTTATGTACACTAAAAAAAAATCCATCACTTGTGTTATCCCACTAAAACACTTTACTACACCCAGCAGGAATATAAAGGAATACACGCTGCTTAGTGGGGTTCTTTGTGACCCTCAATCTCAACAAAGGAAGTGGAGACAGCAAACACAGCATGACTCACAGAACCACAACTACCACACTGAGGAAAAATTCATATAATAAATATAAAAAACGAGACTAAAGATGGACCAGTTTAGCTTAAGAGGAGAAGTTAGAGCAGGTCTAAATAATTTAGTTCATAATTTGGAATTTCCAGCTGTAGCACAGTCAAGAGGTCACATTCTTAGGCAAGAAAATACTGCCAAATTGTTCCACTGTGGACCTAGTTTAACAGTTTGTTAGTCTTTTATATTTTGTGAAACTGAAACCGTCTGTTTCTATTTAGTGCAAGAACTTTGAAGATTTTTCATTTTTCATGCCATGTTTGAATGCAGAATGAACTGTGAGATCAATACAGCTCGGTAAGTTTTGTTGTAGCAACAAACAAATTCAAACATGTACTACAGATTGTGTAAGAAGCATTAAGTTTGATCATTATTCTTCATGAAGAAAACTAAAGGTTTTAGCCACTTTTCAAGCCCATGGAGAGTGACGGTTTAATACTCAAAACCAACTGCACAATTATCACTATAATGTAACAATTTCATACATCTTTTTTCAAATTATCTACAGCGATTTTTGTTGTCATGATTTATTTCCTAAAGGTCTACATAAATTTTGTTCTCTGTCTGTTGAAATGATAAATGCATCAGAGCTCTCAGCTGTGTTGCAGTGAATACACACCAGGCTGTTTTGTAACTCCTGTGAGGAACTTCAATAATAACCCACCTGAGAGCTGCCACCCTGCCTCTGCTTTTGTTTCAAACTCCCAAGAGCCCTTCAGTGAGTGGATCATTCAAACTAGACCACTTTGTCTTTTGTGTTTACTCAATAACATGCATTGTTCAAACATAGCAGAGTAGTGTGTGTTTTCCTATGATCCTAGAAAGTTTTGTATGGATTGTGTGAGATCAAGTAATGCATTGCTGTTTGTTTCACTCAGCTTATTATGGCTGATGATCTAACAAACTGCTGTTTATACTCTTGTGTACCTTTAACCTCTTTATTGATAAAACAGGTTTTATTTTACATCAAATACTTTTCAGCTTTCTTATTAAGTGCACATTTGTTCGGAGTGAAATATATATTTATGCAGGTTTTGCATTGATACCATTCGTGCCCTGCATCTTAATCTTATTTGAAGTCAAAGTAATGAATGCAATGAAAACCTGAGAACACTTGGATAGAAGAACATTAGTACTGCTTGATCTCTGGATGTTTTAACAGCCCTGATTAGTCATTATTAGTTATTAAAAGTGTCTAGAATAATTCCTAAATATACAACAGTGCCTTGTTCATTTTTCACCTCATTTGGGACATGTTTTTATCATTGTGAAACTGGCTTGTTCGCATATGAGCTAGAGGACTCACTACTTTGGAAGTCATTTTTCCTTTTATATGGCATCAGCAAATCTACTTTGTACACCTCCAAGAATTATTGGAGTTTAACGTCATTGTAGAGGTGTGGTGTTTGTGCTTTACATCGTTTTCAGATCTCTGTCAGTGTATTAAAAGCGTTGGCGTGTTCCTTCTTGCGTAATGCGTTGTGATGAGCTTTTATTTAGGACTGGGGTTTCACTGTGCACTTCCCCTGCCGATCTTGGCTCTTGCTGACAGTGTGGTAAAAATACCATGCCTTCACTTGCGTCAACAGAGACAGTTCCTCTACCTTTCCAAACAGCAGATTTCACACATACGCT